TTTCTCTTGTTATTGCTGTTCGGGTTGGTGTTGGTGCTGGTATTGCTTTGGCCGTTGTTGTTGTCGTCGTTGGTTTGGTTGTTGGTGGTGGTCTTTGTTCTTGTGCTTATGCTTGCTTTTGTTCTTGGTGCTGGCGTTGTTCTTGCTCTTGCTCGTGCTCTTGCTTTGTCTTGTTCATTGTTCTTGTTCTGTGTGTTGGTGTTATAGTTGTTGTTGTCACTGTGTTTGGTGTTGCTGTTGCTGTCCCTGTTGTGCTAGTAGTTGTTGCTGTTTTGGTTGTTGTTGCTGCTGTTGTTGTTGTTGTTGGTGGTGGTGTTGTTGTTGGTGGTGGTGGTGGTGGATTGTGTTGCTGTTGCTGTTGATGATGTGCGGTTTTTGCTGTTGGTGTTGGTGGTGGCGGTGCTATCGCTGGTGCTGGTGTTGTTGTCGTCAACGCTCTCGCTGATGTTGTTGCTGCTGCTGTTGTTGTTGGCGTTGCCGTCGGTATTGCCGCTGTTGTTGCTGATGATGGTGACTGTGTATGTGTGTTGGTGTCTGTGCTGGTGTTAGTTGGTTTGCTTGCGTGTTTGTTGTATGTTGGATTTCCTTTTTTCGCTTTCCTGGCTCACTTTCTTGCTTGCTTGCTTGATTGCTTGCTTGCTTACGTGCCCTTGCCTTCTTGATTGCTTGCTTGCTTGCGTGCTTTCTTTTAGTTTGCTTGATCGTTTGCCTCGTTTGTTTGTTTGCTTGCCTGATTGCTTCACGGTTGCTTGCGATCGGCTTGATTGCTTGCGTCCATGTTTGTTTAGTCGTTCATTTGGTTGTTTGCCACTTGTCCGCTTATTTATTTGCCTGCTTGCTGGCTTGCTTGCTTGGCACGTGGTTCTTTTGTTTGTTTTTGTGCATTGTTTGTCCGCGTGTTTGTTTGTTCTTTTTTTTGTTTGTCTGCTTGTTTGTGTGTATTGTCTTGCGTCGTTTGTGTTGCTTGTGTTGCTTGTGTTGTTTGTTTGTTTGTTTGTTTGTTTGTTTGTTTGTTTGTTTGTTTTTTGTTTTTTGGTTGTTTATTTGTTTGATCACTTGTTTGATTGTTGTGTGTTTGTGTGTTGGCTGTGTTGTGTCCTTTTTTGTTGTTGTTGTTTGTTGAATTGCTTGTTTGATTTGTTGGTTTGCCTGCTTGATTGATTGGTTGCTTGCAAGCAAACAAGCGTGCTTGGATGCGTGTTTGCTTGCTTTTGCTTCCTTGCTTGATTGCTTGTTTTGTTGGTTTGGTTGTTTGCTGGTTTAGTTGTTTCTTGGTTGGTTTGCTTGCTGGCTTGCTAGCTGGTCGGTCAGTGGGTCTGTCGGTCGGTTAGTTGGTTGGTTGGGTTGTTGATTGTTGTGTTATTGTTAAGTTTGTTTGTTTGTTGGTTGCCTGTTCAGCGCATGAAGCACTAGTTTCTGACACTTTCCTGACACTCTGTGTTGCTTGTAGAGGCGACCAATCTCTCCATCAAGTTAGCATACGCTTCATTTGCAGCTGGCCTTGGAGCATGTTGAAGCTCTGGTTGCCACGATTTTTAAAGCTGATTTCCGCATCAACAAACGCGCGAGCCTCTCGCGCCTGACCCTGGCAGGGCAGATCCCTTCCGCGCTGGTGGGCCTTTTGATGAACAGCCCCTCAGCTTTCAGCTGAAGCGGGTGGAGGAGACGAGCTTTGCTTTGCTGGTCGTTTGGATTCGGCCGTCCAAGACCCAGACAAACCTCCTTGAAAGATACATGTTGGTCATTATCGCCATGGTGGTCATGCTGCTTGCGAGCAGCTTTCCCTTGGAAGCCAGCATCGGGAACAAATTCTGAACAGGGATTTCTATGACTAGGCCAGGTTATGACTAATGCTGTTAAAATTGTCCGCAGGCTTTTCTACTCAAAAAGTATCTTACATTGCTTGGAGGTTTGGTTGCAACAAGAACAGGCGTGGCTTACGCACATCGCACATGCTTTGTCCATGTACACACCTTTTTCCCTCATGAATTATGCCATGTGCAACGTGCCGTCTGGCGCGACGCGCAGGACATGGAAGACGCGCCTCCTGGAGAGACTGTAATGGAGGACTGGGTTGGGAATTGGCAAGGGACGGTGATCGCCCATTTGCTGGCCAGCTTTTCTAGATTTCCCAGGAACATACTTCAACATTTCTTGCTTGACACATCATAGAACTCAATGGGTAGATATGATACAGTAGAGGCTATGGTTGAGCATGTTATGTTGCAATTGTTTATGATCAATGCTTTCATTGTTTCAACTACATTGGCTCTTCATCTTCCAGCTTCTTGGAACATGGTGTACCCTTCTTGAACCTTTGCAGCATGACCGGGCCATGTCCTGTCGCAGCCAGCTGGGATGTTCAAGCGATATCAAAACAGCCCTTTGGATGTGTCAAGTCTTGAGTTTTCATGCCTGAATTGGCCTATCGGACTTCCTTCTCCAGCCCCTACTCCTCTTTGGAGGAGTTGTGAATTGGTCAAAGCGACCCCCAACGGATCCCAGCAACCACTGCAATAGGTAACCAGCTTTTTCCTTTGGTTTTTAAAAGGTGGCAAGGTTTGGTGGCCCCAACTGGAATTACTGGAGAAGCCAAGAGAAATTCTTGCGTCCAAACATTCCACACCCCTAAGTGGTTTCCTTGGGGAGCCCGAAGTGGCTGTGGGTCAAATTAATGGTACCATTTTAGGGTAGGTGCACCCATTTTAGTCTATTTTAGTGGGGATTGGCATGTTCACTGGGGGTATGATTTGGATTTTGACCCATGGCCAAGTGGGACTTAGCATCCCTGGCTTTGGTTTAAGAACACCCACGCCATGCAAGTCTTCGCTTCCTCCTCTCGCAGGTGGCAGCTTTCATGGCCGGCAAAGGTGTCCGCTGCGCGGCGGTGAATGCCGCCTCCGCCTACCAGGCGCGCCTCTTTGTCGGTCCACCGGGGCCTTCAGTCGGAGAAACTGCTGTGATCTGTTTCGCTGTTTGGAGGGAGGTGCATGACCCAGCACCTGTGGGAGGGTGCCTAGAAGATCAATTTCTTCTTTGAAGGGACCCTTTGTGAGATTGTGCGGTGGCAACGTGGAAGACCGGGTAGTTGGTGGTTTGGACTGGTGGTTAGGGTTTGGGGGGGCCCTACCTTTCCTTTTGGGTCACATTTAGATGAGTTTCCAGGGTGATGTTCAAAGGGTTCTTTGGGCTTGTTTCAAAGGCATCCAAAGGAAACGAAACAATCTGGGGCAAACATTCTAACGTGTGATTAGCCATGGTTAATATCATCATCAGGGACGTCGCGTTAGTGACCGACCTGTGGTGTTTTGGCTCAAGTTTTGGGTTCCGTCGCGCCTCGAATGGGCGTCGCCGAACCCCTGCGTCGACCGACGGCATCTCGGGGGAGAAAGAGACCTCGGGCCGCCGCCAGGTTGGTAGGGACCAGTCGTGCGGCCTGTTGTCGACCAAGGTTGCGGGTTAACCCTTTTCTTGTTTGGTTTGTTTTCCTTTTGGTTGTTGTTCTCTGGTGTGTGGGAAACCCTGATCTTTGGGACCGGGGATTGGTTTGCTTTTGGGGAACCTTTCTTTTGTGGCTTGTTTACCCCAACTTACCCATTGCCTGGGCACAGGCTCGTGCCCGAATGACAGGTTATCAGCCGTAGGACTTTCCTACGCGCTTGAGACCATCAACTACAAGCTCTATGTCGACCCCACGATCTCGAAGGAGCGTCGTGGATGAGGAGGCCATCCTAGGGGGCCTCCGCTCAGGTGAGGACCTACCGGACTACGACTACGAGGATTTCGAAGCAGGTTCGACAGGTCAGGATCGCAGGGGTGAAGATCCCGGTAGGGACACACCCAGGAGCCGTGGCAGGTACACCGATGATGGAGACGACCGCATTTTCCGCCAGGCCACCGATGATGAGCAGACACGAAGGGTTCGCTCCGATAGGAGCGGCTCTGAATCAGGTCACAGGTGCGGACAGTTCGACTTCATCAGCATGGCGATGAACATGGCCCGCCCTCATTCGGACGACCCGGAGGCTATGCCGACCCGACCCCCGAGATCTCTTGTTCCAGGTGAATCGCAGGTCTCGGATGAGTTTGAGGACAGGCCGCAAGGACCAGGGACTATGGTTTTGGCTCCGAGAGGTATCTCGGGTCGATCCACTGGTTCTCAAAATCCAGGTCAGTTTGATGAGCACGAGGAGCGGAAATTCTCAGACTTCGGATACGATGCTCTGTTGAAATCAACCGCAGGTTGGGGCAGTAGCTCAAAACAGGGATCTGATGCCGGTAGGCCCAACCCTAATACTGCCAAATCTGAGTCCTTCCCTTTTTCTTTTTCCGTGGCCCCGCGGCGGCGCCGTTCGGGCTTTACTTGCAGCTTCGCGAGCTTCGCAGACGTGCGCGCTCGATGCTGCTGCGCGCTGGAAAAAGCAGCCGTTCCAAAACTCGAGGCTTCCTGTAGATCCATTTCTTACTCAAAATGTGGCCACACCTTCATTTAGTACTTAAAAAATGATTTCATACTTATCTTTTTTGGAGGTTTTTGACACCTCGCACCCGCGCGTGTGCCCTATATTTTTTCCAGTGCATATATGGATAATAGATGAGTTGACGTGCGTGCATGGTTTGATGTTTCGTTTACTTCCAACGCGTTTCGACTCGGGACCAAATCGTTTTTGGGAAACCATGGGGGATCATCCCTTCTTACCCGGCGGAAAAGCGGCTAACCCTGTTTTCCCCTATAACCATGTTCAATCCGTGGTCAACCTTAAGAATTGGGAATATATATTATGGGGGCAAACGGTTTTGAACTCTGCATTTGCAACAGTGACTCCAAAAACCCTATACAGCGTTCAGCTCTGTTTAGTACCGCAACACATCGAATCGCAAGCCCGCTCACGTGGTCTTGCTTTGTGTCCTGGCAAGTCAGATGCACAAGAAGATTCGCGCACACTATAAGCAAGTCCTTCGGAGTGTACATAGAGAGCGCGGCTCAAACCTGCAAAAAGTCAGGATGGCTCAAGTTTGGATGGTGGCTCGTGCCGCCAGGCCTTATTTTTGGTGATCTCAAACGCTTCTTGCATCTTGGGCTTCAAGCCCACCAAGTAGCGTTGCAGCACGGTGAGCGCAGCAGTCTTAGCATGGCATTTCTTGATGATGTGGCCGGTCTTTCGCAGGGAGTCCTCGTCCATGAAATTGACACTGCGGGCCGGGTTGCGGCGGTTCTGAACAAGATCGTCAAACAAGTGGCAGAGGAGGTGGTACTTTGGCCGTGGGTTGAAGACCTTATAGGTCAGTTTCCCGCGGTAGCTGGCATGAAGCTGGAGGTAGAGCTTCAGGAAGGTGTAGCCAAACTCATGGGCCTGCCTCGCCTGAGCATCGGTGAGGGTGTGTTGGCCAGCGGCCCTGGCTTTGAAGAGCACAGTCATTGCGGCGTTCAAGCACCACACGCATGCCTTCAAGGGGCGGGGGGCTACCTCGTCGGTGCACTCACCAAGGAAGTCTGCCAGCCACTGAATCAGCGAGCCTGTCTGGGCGGCTTTGGAGTGGCACTCCACATATTGCTTCTTGCTGCGCATGCCAACCCAGTCCTTGTGCATCAAGAAGTGCTTTGGGAAGCCTTTGCTGTGCGGCGAAGAAAGGAAAAGAGACGTGGCGTGGCGAAAGCGTTTTTTGATATTGGATCCACGAAATGCTCCACCACGCCTCGCATGAACCAAGAGGTACAACACGGACCCGACTAAATCTCGGCCCACCCCCAGATGGATGGCATGCATCAAGTCGATGTGCACGATGCGCAGGATTGACGATATGCCCCCCAAGGTAGCAAGAGCTGGCGGGGTCACCCATGGATCGCTGAGATACAATGTGCTGCGCCAGCTCGCTGTTTCAGCGACATCGGTGTATGGAAATGCGCCATCGCGCGTCGCGTCGCACCAGAGGCAGCAAGAGTTGTGATTGTATGTGCGGCAAGAATTTAAGGCCTGGCACAAAAATTTCCAGTCGCCTTTTATGCCAGCCAGCTGCGCCCGCACGCTGCATTCAGCTCGAAGGCAGTCGAAGCTCTGCGCGATGTGCTGCAACGCAGCCTGCAATGTGTAGTTGATGTTGGAATCCTCCTCGTGGCAGTGAACATGTGATGGAATGACGCAAATCAAGTATCGCGACATTCGAGAATCTTGTTGCACACGAACATCGGCGCAGTCCGCCATCCAATGCAGAGCCATATACGTGCAGCTGTTCCACTCGGCCTCGTCGCCGAACAGCAAAAGGGGAATGCTGTCAGGGCCGGGTGCAGTGATACCACGCGCGGCTTGCATTTGCCAATACTCAGCGCTGCAAGTGCCGAGCACATCACGGTAGCCGTGGCGAACCAGGGCCTCGACCTACATGTCAACTGGCAACAGGCACTGTGAAAAGAAACGGTTTGATGATTGAGGCTCCGGCCATGGTGTGCGGTAGGAGGAAGGGCCACTGCGTTTCTACCTGCATGCCCTGCTCGTCTTGCACGGGCAATGTGCAGTACGTCACCAGGGCGTCGAAGGTCAGGTCGGCTGCTCTGAGCTTCTGGTGAGCCCGCGCTTCCTTCAGGGCGGACTGCCTAGGCATGACATGAAGTACATCCCAACTGCAAACAGAACCGCACATGCGTGCAGCTTGGGTGCGTGAACACAGATGAGCTATACGCCGATCCAAGGTTCACAGCAGTCTTCAAAGTTGCTGAGCCTTGGCCAATTTCTCGAGCTATCCTGACAGGGCGTGCCAATGAATGTCGCATGAAATATTTGCATGCATGCAATGGCAGTCCGTTCGTCAAGACTTCGGCGGAGCAAGTCTATTTCGCCAGCTGCCCCACCTGGCGCACATGTCAGCCGATCGAAGCATGCGTCCGAACGATGTGCATGTGTGGTGACTCATGTGTGCGCATGCATTGAACTCGAGGAGGTCGAGGAGGTCGAGGAGGTCGATCAACACCTGGCAGAGAAAGGGAAAGCAAAAACAGAAAAGAGGCTAAAACCTTAAGGCCCGCGCCGTGCAGAACATATCGAACTGCGCCTGCAACAAAGTTGTGCGAGTGCAGAACGCGTGGCTATATATGCATGCGCGTGCGAACCGATTTGCACACGTGCATGTTTTACACCATGCGGATGCGATCATCTGGCACAAAATCAGGCTCGATCCGCTCTTAGCGCTCTCACGTGTTGTTGTACGACCTGACTTATAAGTCACAGTTGCGGGCATGGTACGCACGCGCGCTTCTCAGGCAGCGGCTTCTTGAGCTCTTGCATGGTGGCCTTGACTTGGGCTTTCTTCACACGCACGGCCGCAACCTGTCACAGAAACTCAAAAAGGCGAGCGCACACACACAGGTGAAAAGCAAGTGCAGCCTCGTCGGCGACCCCCTGGATGCCGTCGTTCCACTGCTCCATCTTTTGCCAGGTGGCAATCCTGCACGCGAGCGGATCCAACAAAACAAGATATGCGCAAATGCCAAGCCTCTGCCAGCAACTTTCCAGACTGTTTTTCGCAGTAGTGAGATCGTCTTTGAAGGCAGCTTGCGAAAGCGGCAAGTCAAGGTGCAGGTTGTTCACAGCATTGAGCTCTTTTTTGAGCTCCAGACCTTATGCGCTCAACCATGTGTGAATTTGAAAACACATATAAGACTGAGAGACTGGCGCAACTTGTCCATACGCTTGGCAAGCGTCAGCCCCTCAACGCGGAGACCCATCGGCCCGAGCTCAGCTTTATCTCCTGGCTGCGCTTTGGCCTTCTTCTTGGGAACAGGCTTTGCTTTCGGCGCTGGTGTACCTCCAACAGGAGAAACCAGCAGGGGTGACTTACATCTGGCAAGAGGCCTTGTGTAGCCGGCGGCTCTGGCAGCGATGCTGCAGGGCTTACGCTTGCTGCGAACTGCTGCATGGCCATGGCGCCCCCGGGGATCATATCCGCCACGGAGGGGCCACTACTGCTAGCAATCCGCGTGGCTCCAAGAGCAGAGAGAAGCCCGCTCCCATTCATCGCTTGAAAGGCCGCCTGTGGATCGACCCGGCCGCTGATAGTGGACTCAAGCTCAGTGGACTGAGCTTTTGCCCGCTTCACACTCATGGTGATCCAGTACCGGACGTCATCTTTGCTAGCGGGACAGGCAGGATCTGGGACGCCCGGCTGGGATGCCACGGTGGCATCAATTTTCTGCCTTGGTGGCAAACGCATGCGTGCAAACAATACTCGCAAACCAACAAGAGCTAAGGCGCTGCGACACATCTCGCTGTTTCATCTGCTTGATTGTCAGCAACTCCTCCACCTCGTCCAGCTTGTGAGACATGCTGGAGCGAAGGTTCAACGTGGCCTCAATGCTGGAAGCATTGCCGTTGGTGGTGACCCATTGGCTCAGAAGGTCCTTCTTCTGGTCTTCACTGCCGGCGCGCCAGATTTTGGCGATGTGGGGGAACTGCGTGATTCTCGGGCTGGTCGCAAAGCGGCGCATCTTGTAGTATGCGTTGCGGCTCGCCTTCTTGACAGCAGCAGGCTCGGGCTCGGCGCCTGAGACCTCTTCGCCGTCCAACTCGACGTCGGTGGGAGAGTCGGCGGCTTCCATCTCAGGAGGCTGGCTATCAGGCCAGTTCTGCTGCTCGTCGGCCAGCGCCATCTGCTGGTGGGGCTCCCTGCGACATGAAACACGAAGAGTTCAACATGCGTGGATGCGCGTGCTGTAAGATGGACATCTTGCAAGTTAAGGGCCAAGCTCTGAAGGGAAAAGTTCCCGAGACACAGCCGTCTTCCGTTGCTCTGCGCAAATGTGGCGGGCGCGCACCAGCGATGCATGGACCTGCGCACGCAAACAAGGAAAGATTGATCGCTATATATATGACAACCGATCGAGGGCAGGGCTCTCCATGCGTCTCAGCGTTCTCCTGGCAAGCGATTGGAACATGCGTGCGTGCATCGTGGTACACATACGATCAAAGCATGTCCTGCGCGGGCGTGTCAACCTCTACGACTTCTTTCGTCTTTTGAGCAGTCTGAAGCCATCCATCGAGGCTGGCCTGGCAGTCCGAACAACGCACCGAAAACTATTCTTTCATTGGATTCAACAATACTGAGTATCCGGCCTTCGTAGCCGACTCCTTCATGGGCTGAGTGTCTGCGCGGTCAAGCGAGTCATTTCTGGGCGAAGGGGTTGTTGGCACAGTCTGCGGAGCGCCGCCTGCATCATCCTCAGCCTCCAGGGCAGGAATTGTGGCGGCGTCTTCAGCTACAGCCGGCGCAGCTGTAGGAGCAGCAGCCGAAGTGGCTGCAGGTGAAGGGGCTGCAGCAGCTGACGGCGCTGCCGGTGGAGGGGCTGCAGCTGACAGGGCTGTGGCCTCCATCTGAGCAGTGGCCTGAGCTGTGGCCGGAGGAGAAGCTGCAGCTCAAAAGGGCTGCAGGTACAGAGGCAGGAGCTGTGGCTGGAGAAGCCTCGGCCAGAGGAGCTTCAGACTCCTCTGCTTTCTTTCTGCGCTTTGCAGGCTTGCTGGATGCAGACTGCTCAGTTGCGGCCGCCTTTGCTTTGCTCTTCGGGGCCGATCTCGAAGACTTGGATGCAGACTGTTTCTGCTGAGCGCCCTGCAGCAACTCCTGTGCCTGTGCCTCTGTGACGCCGAGCACTTCTGCCAGTTCAGTTGGCGAAGGAGCCTTCCCTTGAAGCCGCTCTTTGAGCTGAGCGAGCTTACTGTCGGCCATGCTTACGTCGTGGCTTGGCTGTGCAAAAACTGCGACGTTATGCTCTTGCGAATCATGACTGCAACCGTTCACGCAAAAGACACAAGGAACAAAAACTACCCGAAAACGGTGGTTTTTTTTAAGCACGAAGTGCGGTATTTATGCGCGATGTGCGGCTTTTATGCGCGAAAGTGCGCGGGCAAAACCTGCAATCTTCTACTGACCGGATATGACGCTGCGGGCTATTGGCAAGAGCAGGTTTGCAAAAGACCCGGACGGGTTCAACTTTCGGCTGGCTGCAAGGTATGCTAAGCTCTCAGAAACGCCGGCCTTACAATCAGCTTTACTCAATCAAGGGCGTGCAGTTATAAGGCTCTGCAGCCGTTGCAACCTGCTAGTGGAAACTGTAAGGCCCGCGCATCATGCCAGGGATCTACGGGAGGCCAGCTGATTGCCTGCGGAGGCTACAGTTCATACTCAACAACATTTTTGACTCAATGAAAGTCCTGGAAGAGCTCGAAGTCCGACTTGTCCTCCATGATCTGCGGCGGCGACCGGGGCAAGCAGCAAGTCGCCTGCGGGCCGGCATGCGTGCTACAAACGACCAAGCCAATTTCGCATTCTGACCCAACGTGGGAGGTATGCGTGTGCCTGAAACTCCATCTGAAAGGCAGCCACAAGAATCTGAGCGAGGTGCTTGCCGAAGGAGACAGTGTACGACCTTAGTATGAATATCGGCACATGCACGGTGGGCAAGCAAGCTGGCTGGGGCGCACTGACTGCCCTTGAGCAAGCCATTGCCAGACCACCAAGTTCTACCAGAGACTTCGCTGGTCTTGCGGCTGACCAGCTGCACCGACGCCTCTCCAGGTTGAGAGGCTGGAAAGCCACCTGCGTGCAGCCAGAGGCGCTTCAAGATGTACTCGTCGTTGGACCACCAGCTTTGCGGCTTGAGAGTCTCTGCTTGGTAATTTTTGTGGTAAATCCTCACCACAAAAATCACAAACTCGGCCATAAAGTCAGCAAGTCTCGGGTGCAGCGGGGCTGTGCTTTGAGCTGGCTGTTCAAGAAGAATGCGGGCTTTGACAGACAGCGCAGCCTGCATCAGCAACACCACGCGGCTGCACAAACTGTTGCCGCACCGCACAAAACTGAAGCCAATGTTTCCAAGAGGAAACAGTACGGAGCGCTCGTGATTCGCTTGCGCCCTGCCAGTGGGCATGCAGCACATGCATGCAGCAAATTGCATAAGTGATTTGCACGTGAGGTTGATCAAAATGCAGTAAGTGCGGCACGGTCTGCAAAAGGAACTGCAGGGTAATCCGATGATCAGGAGTCCACCACGCCGTAAGCGAAGTATTTCGCAAAGAGCGCACCTGACAACGAAAGATTCTGAAACTGCGCACTCAATCTTGCAAGGTGTCACGCATGAGTCTGATTGAGGCCACGGCAGGAAGCCACAAGGTTTGAGCAAATCAAACTCACTGGCATCAGAGACGTCCATGCTGCAACCTCGAAAGCCCTCCTGAGCATCAGGGGAGGCAGAAAGCTCAAACTTGCGCATTGTGTCCTGGCGAAGTTGCGCGCTAGCATGCGCAGTGCCACTGAAGAGCTCCAGGAAATCGTTGGGGGCATCCTTCGCACGAAAACAACTGCCCTAAAAAATGCATGAGTGACTGAAAAAAACAACGTCCATGAGTGACTGAGAAGCTGACCGTGGGATCTGAGCGGAGGCCATCATTGTGCAAAAGAAGGAGGACCAAAAGTATCAAAACAGGGGGGGCCTTAACACGCAAGAGCTCAAACACCACCATGGCTGGCAGTGGTTGTCGCATGAACTGCTGGACCTGCATGCGTGGATGCGTGCATGGCAGCTTTCTGACAAAGAGCAACTCACTGGCTTCACTCAAAGTGCACCCCATGGGCAAATCGCCCGCATATATCGAAAGCGCATGCAGGGCACGCAAAGTTACACCCAGATCGACGATTCAAACAGCTGCTAGGACCCCTGATCACTCGGCAGCTGGCTAGCCTGGCAGTCAGAGGAGTCACAAAAGGAACATGAAGCTGAAATACGTGTGCCTGCGGTCAGAGCACGCTCAGCGGCGACCCACCGATCTTTTGCCTGCTGGGAGGCAGCTTGACAGTGGAGCTTCAGCTCGCCCTGAAAGCCAGACTGGAGGGCAATCCGGCGAGCTGTGTGGTACGCCCGGCTGCAGAACTTCTTGCAGGTGTCCCCTTCAGCGAGGGGCTCTGTGGCGGTGATCCGCCGGGCTCTGGGTCGACTGGCGGCCTCTTCAGGCTCAGCTGCAACGACAGCCTGTTGGACAGGCTCGGCTGCAGAAGGAGTGCTGCTGTGCACGGCTGGCAACCCCGTGCAGTTGCCAGGCAAGTTTGCCTGCTCAGTGGCCCGGGCTGCATGCCTCTTCAAGGCTACCCTTTTGGCAAACGACCGCTGCCTGCGAAGCTTGCACAGCGACTTCACACACGAGCTTCGGGGCTCCAGCGGCAGAGTGCACGGCTTCTCGGGAGTGACTGGTTCTGGCTCGTCCTCCTTGCGCGTGAGGAGCACAGGGGGCGGGGCCGGCGTGTTCGCGATGGCGTCAAGGACCTGCAAGTGTATACAGAAACTGTGGCACACACGCTCATTGAGGCCACAGCAAAGTCAGGCACATGGAGATCTTCTGCTTGCTTGGGTACCTGCGGGGCAGCTGCCATCAACAAGTCCCACAACTCTGGCGCTGGCTCATCCTGGGGCGGAACTACTGCAGCAGCTTGTGACTCAAGCTCTGCTTCCAAGAAGCTCCAAATCCCAGACTGCTCCATGAAGTCCAGGGCGTTGGGCTTGTCGGCCGTGGCATTTTGAAGCGGAGACACCCGTGGCGTTCCCTTAGTGCTGACGTCACTCAAGTCTGACTTCAGCTGACGAAGCGCTGGCAGTTTTGCCCCTTCGCTGCTGTTCTTGACCTTCTTGAACTTGCTCGACATCAGCCTGCAAGCGAACGCGCCTTTCTTGCACCATTTCTGGAAGGACTCGAAGGGGACGCCATGCGGGACCAGGTTGTGAGTCTGGTAATGCAGCAAGATGGCCTGGGCAATGCTCGCTTCGCTGAGCCTGCTCGAACCAAAGCCTCGCAGGATCCCGTGAATCACCTGGCCGATCAACAGCTCAAGAAAGCTCAAGCGCACTGCAACACATACATGGCCTCACAGTTGAGGGCGCAATCTTGAAGAGTCACGATTCCCTCGAACAACTGCGCATTGTGCTGCTTGATGAAGCCAAATCCCAACTTAGCGTGCGAGAACTTATCGCCAAGGAAGCGACACTCTACAAGCGAAGGGCCCCGGCAGTCTTCAGTACTGGAAACTCGGACCAGGCAAGCGCCACCCGAGCAGCCACATCGCAATCAGCTACTTCAGCCATATGACCATGCACTACAAAACCAAAATGCGCTGCGTGCGTGAGTTCATGGGCATGCACATGTGACACAACTGCATGTGAACATCAAATGGCCTCGAAGATCGATGTCGAAGACGATGATGACCTGGGCGAATTGCAAGAATGCGCATGGGAAACCAAAAAAAAGTGCATGCATGGAGCTCCAACTGAACGGCAGTTTTTCTCCACAGGCACTAGCGTTTGCGGAACTCTGCCTGAAACTTCTCTAAAATGCGCAAAGTCTCCGCCACTTGCTCACTGACCTGGCAGGGAAAAAATCGACAGCAGGCAAGACGCGGCAAGAGCTCAGCCCAAGGCAGGGGCCCGCGGGGCAGTGCGCCAGGATGTGGAGTCTCCTGTCCTGGCCGAAATCCAACAGCATGCATGTTACGACAAATGTCTCATGAGGGCAGCACGGCACAAAGTGAGGATCTGCAGGTGGCGGGCTGGGAGGCCACCATGTGCAGCGCCCCCTTCTGGGCGGAGAAGGGGGTTTCGGCGGCCTGCAGCAAACAATTGAAGCTCACAGCCATGCATGAGCGCGCACGCCTGCGCTGCAGCTTCGGCGCTGCCTACGATTATTCATCATGCCCAATTGATTGCATACGTGGGGTCCGCGCCTTGGGCGGCAGCACGTCCGGCGACGGCTGCCGAGGCCTCTTCTTGGGCTGGATGCCCGATGGAGTCAACTTCTCCTGGAAGACGCAACAAAATGAATGTGTGGCCACATTCCAAGTAAGAAATGAATGGATCTACAGGAGTCCTGTTCCCCGACCAGCATGCGCAGCGTGTCCAAAACTTTGTCGGTCTCCTGATCGGCGCGCAGGTACGTATGTGCAGTGACAACGCATGAGCGCCTGATCAAGCTCTGTGCTGTCAGACTCGGAGCTCACCGCAACAACGGGTGTGCGCTTGCAGTTGCGCGGCTGCTTTGCCACAGGCTTTGCAGCCGCAGGCTTTGCCACAGGCTTAGCCGCAGGCTTTGCCTCAGGCTTCCAGGTGCCCCACGCCTGCGTCAATTTGAGAGCATGGCCCAACAGTAAAGACATGCATGCAGACAGTCCTCGCTGGAGTCTTCATCCTCAAGATCCTGCATCGAGTTCGAAAGCACAGGGCGAAGCAAAAAATGGGTTTGCAAGCAGGAAGTCCTTGTCTTTCTCCATGGCCAGCTTGCATGCACCTGAGCAGTTGCTTGCGTGAACAAAACAAATGCTCCAAGATTGGTAGCTGAGCTATGGGCATCTATGGGCTCCCACAAAAACAGCCGGCCCACCCACCCAGCAGGCGCTTGAGCCAGCGCTGCTGAGTAAACTCAGTGCCTGCTTGCAAAAAAAGAGAGACAACCAACGAAGAGACCAACCTACCGATCGAACTCAAAGGCCCTGGCCCAAAGCAGAAGAAGACGATGTCCATGGCTGCAGGGCCTGAGCAGGCGAGCTGGGCGGCGGGGGCACAAAGGGGCATGAGGCTCTGACAATCTTCGTGATGCCATGAGTGCCGTGCGTGGGTTCCATGCATGCGTGCGGATGCAAGTGCGTGTGTGCATCTGTGTGTGTGTACATGTGTGTGTACGTGTGTGACATCTGTGACATGTGTGACATGTGTGACATATGTGTGTGTGTTTCTGTGTGTGTAGGTTTGTGCGTGTGTGAATTCATGTGCTAGATGGTTTTGCATAAAGCCGGGCAGACCAGAGGAACTCGAACTCATCCATGTCCGCCATTTCACCTCAAAATAAAAGGTCAAGTTGAAATTTCGTGTCTGCCTTTGGTGCGTGAGGGCCCGGCCATATGTCGCGCAAGCTCTCATTGCGACATGCACCTGACAGTCTGGCATGTCATCATTTGAGGGCGCGCGTGCCTCGCCTGCCGGAGCAAAAATTGTCATGCGTGGCGGACTTGAGCCATCGCGCTGAAAGTGACCGCTTCAAGACCGAGGTGGCCACAGAAGCTGCGCATCTGAAAAAAAAACCACCGCCAACTCACAGCGGCGTGCGCGTTTGACTTCGGAAAACATTTAAGCACGAAATGATGATTTCAGTCTTAGTTTTGGATGTAGCATCTAGCCACTTTTTAAGGCCGAAACGGATCTACAGGTTTGCTGCGCGGGCTGGCTTTCTCCGTCCGACAACGGCTCGCTCTTTGGCGTTCTGTAGCTGCTGGCTCTGATTTTTGCTGTTGGCTGTTGGCTCTCCAGGCTCTGACTGTGCCAGCTCTGCCTTCTGTCAAGCCTCGCACCGTTCCAAAACTCGAGGCTTTGCGGCGGACAACGGCTCTGACTCTTTGGCGTCGGCGCCTGTGGCTCTGGCTCTGGCCTCTAGCTGCTGGCTCTACTTTTGCTGTTGGCTGTTGGCTCCAGCTCTGACTGCGCCAGCTCCTCTGCTTACTACCTTGTTGCTCTGGCTTCTGGCCATTGATAGAGCCTTGGCTTTGTCTGGCCCTCTGGCTCTGGCCCTCTGCTTGCGCCTGGCTGCTTCTGCTGCGGCGGTTGATAACGTGCTTATGCGGGATCGTGTGAATCATACCGTTGCTTCTGCTGGCTATGCCATGGCTGCCTCTGCTTCTGGCTGCTTTGGCTTTAGCTGCTGGCTCTGGCTTTGCCTCTGCTTCTGGGTATGGCTTGCTGCCTCTTGCGCGGCTCTGTTTCTGCCCTGGCTGCCTCTGCTGCGCTTCTGGCTCTGCCGCTCTGCCTTTGCTTGCTCTGGCGGCTGCTTTGGCTCTGCCTCTGGCTGGCTTTCACCGGCTCTGGCTCTGCTTTTCTGCTCTGGCTCTGGCTGCGCGGCCCTGGCTCAACTTTGCTGCTTTCTGTATTGATAAACATGGCTAGCGCTGATCTGCAGGAAGGCTGCAAGGCTCTGTCAAGGCTGGCGATGCCACCAATGGCAACGCAGAAAAATTGCACCTCTGTCAAGCCTCGCGCCGTTCCAAAACTCAAGGCTTTGCGGCGGACTTTCTCCATCCGACAACGGCTCTGACTCTTTGGCGTCGGCGCCTGTGGCTCTAGCTGCTGGCTCTGACTTTTGCTGTTGGCTGTTGGCTCCAAGCTCTGCCTTCTCTGCCTACTACGTTTTTGCTCTGGCTTCTGGCCATTGATAGAGCCTTGGCTTTGTCTGGCCCTCTGGCTCTCGCCTCTAGCTGCTAGCTCTGGCTTTGGCTGTTGGCTGTCCTGGCTGCTTCTGCTGCGGCGGTTGATAACGTGTTTATGCGGGATCGTGTGGAATTATAGCCCCGTTGCTTCTGCTGCTGGCTATGCCGTGGCTGCCTCTGCTTCTGGCTGCTTTGGCTTCAGCTGCTGGCTCTGGCTTTGGCTGTTGGCTGTCGCTCTTTGCTCTGCCTCTTTTTCTGGTTATGGCTTGCTGCCTCTTGCGCGGCTCTGTTTCTGCCTTGCCTGCCTCTGCTGCGCTTCTGGCTCTGCCGCTCTGCCTTTGCTCTAGCTCTGGCGGCTGCTTTGGCTCTGGCTCTGCCGTGCCAGGCCCAATGGCCGTTTTATCAGCAGTGGCCGATTTATCAAAGCGAATTGCCGTTTTAGCAAGGCCAACGGCCGTTTTATCAACAGATGCCGTTTTATCAACAATGGCCGATTTATCAAAAGGTTTATCAAGGTCCAGGGAGAGCCAAAAACAGCGAATCGCCTTGTTCTTCTAGGAGGGGGGGTCCGCGACTTGCTTTGCTCTTCTAGGGTCCGCTTTGCGGGAAGCAAATCGCTTTGCCCTCGCTGGGGCTGCCCTTGTCTCTCTTAGATACAGCGCTTTGCGGGAAGCGAATCGCGTTGTTTCGCTGGGAGGGGTCCGCCCTGGCCCCTTCTGAATAAAATTGTCTACAAGAAATCACTTCATTTTGAGGCAGCCTTTGCCGCGAGAGGCGAGCCGCTGGCTTGTGTCCGGAATCGCGCGAGCCCGTCCTCGGCAAAGATAGGCCATCTTCAGCGGCGCAGCTCCTGACATCGATGAGCGGGAAAGGCAAGCGCAGGCAAGCTCGCGGGCCGCCGGGCGCAGGCCCGGAGCGCAAGGGCACGCTTTGACCGCGCGCGTCAAGCCAATTGGCTGCGGCTCAAGGCCCGCAAGCGAATCGCTCAAACCTTCGCCCGTGGCGCTCTTCCTGCTTCCCGCGCGGCCTTCCCCGCCCACCTCGAGCCAATTTTTGCCCCGGCGGCTCCAACCGCGCGTCACGCGCGCTTTGCGCCGCTTGCCCCCGGCCTGCACTTCGGGCAAAGCCTTTGGCGCTTGTCGCCTCCTTGCCCGCCCGGCTCGCGCCGCACGCCGCCGCATTTGCGGCACGTGCTCTTGCCCTTAGCCCAAGAGCCGCGCGAAGCGCAGTTCAAACATCGCCGGCGGCTAGCCGACGACGGGTCGCCGTCATGCTCCGCGGCGCCGGCTCCCGGGAAGAACAGGTCGCAAGCCCGGCAAGTGAACCAGCCGGCGCGGCCCCTATTGGGCCGCCTCTTCACGTGGGCCACGCAATCTGCGCAGACCGCCGCCCAAGGCATTGTTGCTGCGACACTCTCGAATTTGCGGCCAGGCAAACGGAACACGTCAGCTCGCCAACCTCTTTCAAGCACTTCAGACAACGGCGCTTGGCTTCAGAGTCGTCCTGCTGCAACTGAGCGCGCGGGAAGGCGACCAGACGGCAGCTTCCGCTTCAGCGTCTTCTGGCCGTCCTTGCCGGGGGCGCAGGCAAGGCAAATGGCCGAGCGGTTGGTTGGACCTGACGCGCTCCCACTGCCGATCGGAGAAGTAGTCCAGTGTCTTGGCCTCTTTGCATTTCTCGCACGCCGCGAAAGGCGCCTTCGCCTCCCGGAATGCGTCCCAGTCCACTTCCTCGCCCCGCAGCTGCTTCAGCAGGAGCGCCGGGCCCTCCAGCGCGCCGCGGGTGTAGAGCCAGCGCTCAAAGCCCCTTGCCCCTCTCCCGCTCTATTGTCCGGCGTCCGGCGCCTCGAGATCAAGATGTCCTCCCTGGAGCGGACCCTGCTCGCAGCCACGGTCCCGAAGGTCACGTCGGTTCGCTTGTCGACGTTGAAGTCGACCAGCGCGGCGGGGAGCGTCTTGCCCTGACTGCCGTGGGCCGTGGTCGCGTAGGCCGGCGCCAGCGGCAGCTGCGTCCGCGCGATCTTGAGCACCGGCTTCTTGCGCTTGGCGTCCAGCTTCCAGACCTTGCGGACGGGGTAGACCGGGTAGAGGCCCGGCTCCGGCGCCCCGTCGAGCTGCCCCGTCAAACTTCACATAGACGCAAGTCGGCCGCAGGTCGTTCTCCTCCCAGACCCAGGAGTGGACGCGCCCGGCGCTACCTTGGAGGAGGAGCTTGTCCTCGGAGCGATCGAGGTGGTCGGCCAAGACCACACGCATCCTGACCGCCAAGGGCAGCATGCCGGAGAGGTTCTCGGTGTCCCGGTCGTGATACTGGAGCCACCGGATCCGCGCGGCCTTGTCACACTCCTGCTCGGGCCGACGAAAGGCGGCTCGCCCCCCCCGCCCCCACCCCCTGCAGCCCCGCGATCTTTCCCGACCCACCCTTGAGCCTGCGTTTGCAAGACCTCGGCGGAGGGGGCGTCCAGAGCCACGGACCAGCGGAGCGGCGACCCGGCCGCGCGGCTGTAGTCTTCCGCGCGGTCCTTGTTGATCTGGTACTTGGCGTCGTTGTTGGCAACGACGGCCGCCGCCCACCTGAACTTCTCTTCGCTCAAGCGCGGGTCGCCGGGCCCGTCGACGACCCGGCGCCGGGACTCGCGCTCTGCCGCGGTCAGTCGACAGCCTTCGACGGGCTTGCCGTGGAGGTAGCGCCAGTTCTGCTCCGACAGCTCGCCGCGCCGCAGCTCGTCCACGACCTCGTTCACCAGGCGTCCTTGCAGCGCTCGCGCTCCTCCAGTTCCGTCACACCCTGCAGGGCGCCGCCCCACACTAGGTCTCTGCCGTAGTCCGCCAGGAGGTCCGGGCGTCAGCGGCCGCGCTCAGCCGCGGCCGCCGGCTGCTGGGCACGTCCGCGAGGTAGCCGCCGCTCGGCGGCGGCAGCTGGTAGAAGTCGCCGAGCAGCAGCACGTTGACGCCCGCGAAGGCCCGCGAATCCCCGGCCGCGTTGCGCTTCCACTGGCTGGCCGACGGGACGACCGCCCGCAGCCGCTGCTCGACCTGTCGATCGCGCAAACAGAAGGGCGGGGCGCAAGCGAGACCGGCCTCCCCCCCCACACGCCTGCGCCAGCAGCCGCGCGTTGACCATGCTGACCTCGTCGACGACGAGCCATCTCCAGTAGCTCATTCTCTTCGCCGCCTCCTGGCCCACGGCGCGGTCCAGCGCGGCCGCGTCCACGCCAACGCAGGCGTTGTGGAGGGTCCGGCCGCGAATGTCGGCCGCGTTGACGGCCTGGAACGCCGCAACCTGCGGGGCGGCGACCCCAGCAGGGCAAGAGAGCCGACCGCAATTTCGCCCGCGCGCCTCGAAGTCGATCCCCTGCGCGTAGCCAAGCTGCTCCTCGAACAACTCCCGCAGGAACTTCAGGACGTGGGACTTCCCAGTGCCCGGCGGGCCGTGCAGCAGCCAGGCCAGCGGCTCGGCTCGCCGCAGAGCGATCTCGTGGCCGGCGCGCCAGCTCCAGCTCCGACCAGAACCCTTTCCACCACCACCCGCAGCATCTCCCATTGCTTGGAGTTCAGACCGCTCCGGACGCGCTCGCTGCCCAGCCAGTCCAACAGCGCGTCTGCGGTCACGGGCGGGCCGAGCGGCTGCGCCTCGGGATCCCGCCCGGCTTGGCCGACGCCCGGAAAGGACGGAAGTCTGCTCTTGCTCCGCGAGGCGCGGGCGGCCCAGGCAAGCGCGTTGTGGTCGAGCTGCTCGTTTTGCGCTGGCGCGCCTTGGCCGGGCGAGGCGTCGGCCCCGCTCTTCCTCCACGCGGCCCGGGACAAGTCGAACATCTGCTTGGTCATGACGCACAGCCGCGTCGCCGCGGCCGCGTCCTCCTGCTCACTGTCTTGTTCGTCAAAGTTCTCGGAGCCCAGCTTGCCCGCGCCGCGGACGTGCGTGGCCCGAGCCGCCTCCAAGTCCGCCTTGTCGAAGCGCACGCCCTCGTCCTGGACCTCGTTGTCGCTGTTCTCTTGCAAGTGCTGTTCCGGCCGGAGTTCCCGTGGCAGGCAGTGGACGAAGCAAAAGTTCAGCGCGAACTGCTTGACCTCTTCGGTCGGGTTGCCTTGGAGAATCCGCCGCCGTCGGAGGGCGCGGCGCCAGTCTGACTTGCCGAACTTGCAGAGGTCGGCGAGGAAGGGCGCGGCGGCCGAGGCGTCGTCGGGGTGGCTCGTCCAAGGGCAGAGGAGCAGCAGCACCCGCTTCGCGTAGTCCTCCTCCGAGCGACCGCCAAGCGCGCCTGGACAACCGGGACGTGGGGCCTCGCAAGGGAACCGCGGCCGCCCGTGCCCTCTCCCCTCCCCCCTCCCTGTGAATTCTCTCGCAGCCCCCGCGCCGCGAGCGCCGCGCGCCTCCTCCTCCCCCCGCCCCCTCGCCTGCCCCGGCGTGCAAGGATCCAATCGTGTCTGAACTGCTGGGCGAGGGCTCCATGCCCTAGCGGCAGCCAGTCTTCCCCGCCTTCCTCGTGGATCTCGTAGTCCGCCCCGGTCAGCAAGACGGCCTTGGGGTTTGCGCCAAGCTTCGCCGCCCCAGCCCGCGTCAGCGAGGCGTGAAAACCTTCGTCGCGCCGCTCGCTCAGCTGCTCCAGCGCAAAGGGCCGCTTGGCCAGCTTGAAGAGGAAGTGGCGCGCGAACTCGAAGGCGCAGAGGTCGCGGACTTCGGCTGCTCGCCCCCGCGCCCCGTAGAAGGTCCAGAACGGGCAGGAGACCACGCGCCCTCGCTGAGCCGCCGGCCGCGCGTCTGTCCGCAGCTGTCGCGGCTCAGCCGGCCAAGCTTCGCCGGCGGCCGCCGCCTCCAGGAGTTGGAGGCCGAACTGCAAGGAGATGGAGTGGACGGGCGCCGTCTTGAGAGACTCGGCCGCCGTGGGGTCGTTGCCCGCCTGGCGCGTGGTCAAATTGGCGCACTCCACCGCGCCGCGGCAGACGCCGCGGGCGTAGCAGTCCGTGGTCAGCCGCTTGGCCACCCTCGCCCCGATGTAGCCGGCGGGCTTGTCCTTCAAGTCTTCGCCGAGCTCCCGATGGCCGCGCTGCCACTCCTTGAGCTCTTGCACGGCGATGGGCGGCCGCTTGTTCATGTAGTCGCAGCCGTAGCCAGCTTGGGCGGCCTGCGCGACGCGAGAGCAAACAGAGCCGGGCAAAACCGCGGCCACTTCCCGCCCGGCCTGGGTCCTCTGCGCTTCTCGGACGAGCAGCTTGACGTCGCCGTCGCCGACGCAGGTCGAGATCTCCTCCTGGCAGAGCGCGTCGTCGTGGGTCTCCTTCGTCACGGGGAACCGATAAGGCACTTGGAGGTCGCCGTTGCAGCGCAGCGCCGCCAGCAGCGCCAGGTGGTTGCCGTTGAGGTTCGGGTCGTTGACCGGGCCCCACTGCAGGCCCAAAGAACTCCGCTTGCCCTTGACGGGCAGGTCCAGCTGCTCGGCCAAGCCGCGGCAGACCAGAGCCGTTCGGCCCAGAATCAACTGGCTGTCGCGGGGGAAACCGCTCTTGCCTCGTCGGATCCTTGGGGTCGCGGCAGTGGGCCAGGGGCCGCCGCTCGCCGCCTGGGCCGGCAGGGAGATGCGCATGATGTTGCTTGCGCTGCTGCAGCTGCTCCACGTCCTCCGCCAAGTATCGCCGCGTCCACTCCTCGGGCCGCAGCCGGCGGCTCGCCTGGTAGGCCGGCCGGCTCAACATCAAGGCGCAGTCCTTGTACTCCGGCCACTCCTCCTCCGCGGCGGCCCGATCGCGCTCCCAGCCGTCCGTCGCAGTAGACGGAGCGCCGGACATGGGCAGTGTAGGAAGCATACCTTTGCAGCAAGGTTCGGAGCTCGGGCTTACCCAAGTCAAGGAGGCCGGCCAGCGACCCGCGCTGATGGCGGCACTGGACGAACACTTGCATGTGGGCGTGGAGGGCTCCGCTCTTTTGACACTCGATGGAGCCAAACACCGCGTCAACTCTGCCCAGCACGCCGCCGCCGGCCACGGCGTTGCTCCCGAACGCGTCGCTGCAAGGCTGCCCCGAAGTCGCGCAGTTCGGGCAGCGCGGGCAGAACCTGACCCCCAAGAGGTGGCGCAGCGTCAGGAGCACCAGCGTCCTGGGGCAGCGCGGTTTCTCCGCCCCCCTTTTGCGCCGAAAGTCCTGAAGCCCTCCGCGCAAGCCAGCGGGTCCCTGGCCAGCAGCGCGCGCCTGTCCTCGTAGTTCGGCAGGTTCTCCGCCGCTCAGCCGGCAGGGCGAAAGAGGGGCGGGCCGCGGGCTGAACGGAAGAGGGCGCTCGAAAAAAAAAGACGCGCGCCCGCGACCAGGTGGACGCGGACGTCAACGACGCCGAGGACAAGCTGCAGCCTGGCAGGAAGACGTCGCCGCCGCCGGCGCGACCTTTGCCGCGCAGCGGGCGCGGGCCGTGGTCGCGGAAGGCTGCGCGGGCGAAGACGCCAACGAAGCTGCGGTGGCCGCGCTGCGGAAACTGCGGCGGGACCTCGAGGCGGAGGTCGAGAAGCGAGAACTGGACAAGTTAGAGGTCAGGGCCGGCAACCAGCTTCTGGACCAGTTCCAGCCCCTCTACTTCGCCGTCGCCTTTTGCTTCTGCTTTCCTCGCGGGACTGCCTGCCCGGACGTCCGAAACACCGCGGCCCAAGAAGACGACAGCAGCCGCCGGAGCAGGCGTGAGAGGCGCCGGGCTCGTGCTGAAGCCGGGAGTTTTGCTTCGGCGCCTTTTTTTTGCCCCTTGCCCCCCTCGCGCGCCAGGAGCCAGAGCGGCGCGCCCGAGGTGAACATTCACGCCTGGGCCGCCGCCATGCAGCGGCGCGTGGAGGCGCAGTTCCGGCGCGACTGGACCTTCGGGTTTGCGGTCTGGAACTACTTGTTCCGGACCGCGGTCAACTTGCAGAAGAACGCTTACATGTTCTCCGCACCCAGCGCCGACGGCGGCAGCTACCAGTCCTTGAAGCTCGAGGACATCGTCGCGGGCGTCCGGGAGATCACATCCCGCCTGCGGGGAACCTACACGGACATCAACGGCGAGGAGAAGCCCGTCCAAGGGGACTTGACCAAGCTGCGCTTTGCGAACCTGAAGCCCGCCGCCCGCAAGATCCTGGCGAACGTCGAGGCCCGGGCCAAGAACATCCCGGGACCCACGAGGTGCGCAAGACCATGCGCCTCCAGACCCACGCTTATCGCGTCTGCTTCGGGACCTCGATCTTCTTGGCGTTCTCGCCTTCGGAGCGCGCCTGGACCACGACTTTCAACACCTCGGGCGGAACCCCGTTGGCAGAGGGCGGCGGCTCCCTCCTCATCCACGCCCGCAAAGGACGGGTGGCCCAGGCGCTTCATGTCCAAGATGAGGTTGACCACCACCTCCCACCTCACGTTCGCCTGGTGGATCTTGAGCAGAACGCGGACCAGCTGGCCGAGTTCTGCGCCGCTGCGCGGCAGCGCCGCCGCCTGGTCGCCTTCCCCCTGCAAAGCTTTCAAGACGTCTTCCCAGGGCAGCGGGAAAGATAAAGCGTTGCCCCGAGCCCCGAAGCGATGCCGGGCCATATGAGCCGTCTCGTCGAGGGCGCAAGCCTCGCTGCGGAACCGCGCCTCCATAGACATGCAAATCAGCGTCGTGACGCAGGGCGAGGCGCAGATCAGCTCCATCGCAGTCGCCTCCTCCGCGTAGATCCGCTCCGGGGCGTAGCCAGTCCACATGTCGTTTGCCAGGCTCAGCGGGGGCAACTGCACGCAGGCGAGGTGGTCGAGGCAGCCGCCGCAAACTGGCAGCTCGCAGTGCTCGCAGAGGACGCCTTCCTCAACGTGTCCTGGGACCGCAGCGGTGGTCCTCCGGGCAGCGCAGCAGCTCTGCGCCGCCAGGGCCAGGCAGCCGCAACTTCCAGGAGCCGAAACTCTCAGAGTCAGACAACTTCTTGCCCGGGACGTCGAGCTGGTCGTATTTCTCCAGAAAGCGCTCCAGGCTGAGCGCTCGCGCCGCTGCGGCCGCCGGCTTCCCGATGAAGAGGCGCTCCCCCGTCGGCTTGCGACTCAGTGGCCGCCGCCGTTGGATCTCGCTCTGCCCCTCAAGCTCCGCCACGCGGGTGTAGACGCAGGCGCAGCAGAAGCAAACGCTCAGCAGCGCGTCCGGGGGGCGAGGCCCAGGAAAGCAAGCGGCGGCGGACTCCAGGTCTTCCGCGTGCTCCGCCTCAAGGTGCTTGGCGAGGTCCGCTTCCAGGCCGTTGGCCGCCTCCCCATCCGCAGCCGTCAAAGGCGCAGAACGCGCGGGGCCAGACTGCTCCGTCCTTCAGCTCAACATCTTCGGCGCCTGGCGGGAGCGTCGGCTGGAACCGGAGCTAGCGCCAACTCCGTCGCCGCGTCCTCTAGGGGGCGGAAGGGGTGGGAAGTCTGGGCCGCGGGGATCACGAAGGCTTTGCTGACTTCCTCCATCGCATCGTCCTGCAGCTCCGGCGCCGGCGTTGTCTTTTCCCGGAGGCGGCGCCGGGGCTTCGCCGGAGCGGGCTGGGCGGGCCGCGGCGGCGCGCGGCCAAGCCCGCGGCCTGAGCGGGGGCCGGCTTGCGGGCGGCCGCGGCGGCGGCCAGACTTGGGAACTCCTGGCCGCGAAGTCGACCCCTTGCCCCTCAGCGTGCAAGCGAACACAGTCCTCTGCGTAGACAGCGGCCGCCGTGGCCCCCGCAGCTTCCGCGATCACCGGGGCAAAGTAGCGCGGCGGCGGCGGCTGCGGCCAGGCCGCGGCCATCGCGTCGGAGAGCTCGGCCTCGATCAACCGTTGTAGAGAAGGTGGGCGACCGGCGCGTCGGCGTCGACGAGAGCGTGGGAGCTGTCCTGGACCTCCACGACGTCGGAGCCCGCGACCTTGACGTGGGCAAAGACCCGCCGCTGTCGAAGCAAGGAATAAGCCGAGATGGCCACGGCTCCGCCCCAGCACTCGCAGGTGCTCGGCCTCCTCTAGCCAAACTTCTTCAAAGCCGTCCTGGCCGAAAGCCTCGCTCTCGAGAAAGTCCGCCAACTCTGCTCGCAGCTCCTCCCCGCAGCAGCCCTCTTCGTCCTGCGTTGCGAGGGCGTGGAAGAGGCAGTTGCCGTCCCCGGGGACGTCGACCACCGCCAGGGCGCAGATCGCCGCAACCTGCGAGCGGCCGCAGGGAGGGGGCGGCGGGCGCTAAAAAGCCAAACTCGAACGAGAAAAAACTCTCGGCTAGCCTCGTCCGCCGCGGCCGCAGACGAAAGATCCGCCGGGGCCATTCTGCCAATCAAAAGTCCTGCGCGCGCGACGGGCGACCCCGCGAGGAAACCTCTCTGCCGCGAGAAGCGAGCGCGGACAGTCCTGATCGCAAACAGCTAGGCGTGCGCGAGAGCTCGGAAGCTTGAGCCGAAAAGCCGTGGAAACGGCCGCGGCCAGCCCAGTCCCAAAAGTCGACGCGGCCGCGCGTTGCTTGGGGGGGCGGCGGCGCGGTCGAAGGCTTGAGAATCTCGCAAATTGGCGCGGCGTTTGCCAACTCCCTTCCTTGCAAGACGAGGCGCGCAACCGCGACGCCCGTGCTCTCCTGCGAGGGCCAGACTTTTCTCCTGCTGTCGCCCGCAACGTCTTGCGTTTTGCGACTGTCGGCGGTCCGCTCAAGAACCCTGGGCTGCGAACAGGGCCCGGTCCAAACGCAAGGGCGGCCGCGTCGAAAGCGGTCAAAGCCTTCAGCCGCCCTTGCCAAGCCCGGACCGCCCGCCGGCAAGGCCGGGACAGGCGCCGCTCCGAAACGAAGCCTAGAAAGAGCACAAAAATTTGGAGCTCGGCGCGCAGGCGCAGCGGCTCGCCGTAGACCAGCCCATCGCCAAGAAGGCAGCGGAAAGTCCCAGTCTTCGCACTTTCGGCGCAGCCGCGCCTGCCACAATGCCAAAGTTGGAAGGCGCAAGTCGCCCCCGCAAAGGCGGCGACTTCGCGCCAGAGCGCGCCGTCGTCAGCCTGGGCCTCAAAGAGAGCCGCGGGCGTCTGCCGCGCGCCCGCCGCGTCGGAGTCCCGCGCGTCGGCCCATCGGGGCCGCTGGCCCAGCGTTTGCAGCATGCGCGGCGAAGCTGGAAGTGGCTTGAGCCCGGAGCTGGCCGCGCTCCCCCTCCGCTCTTCTCCGTCGCTCGCCGTTTGTCTCTCTTCCTCGCAGCGCTCCTCTTTCCGAACGCGGCGCGCGACCCTCCGACTCACCGCGGCCGCGCCGGCCGAGCTTGCCGCGCGCAAACAGCCGTCAGGAAGTGGTCGCAGCGGAACACAATGGCCAGCCCGGCGTCGAAGGGCGGCTCCTCTTCGTCTTCGTCGCCCGCCGCCAAGCAGCCGCGGAAATCGCCAGGGCGGTCGACTCCGCGCGAGTAGATGAAGCGAGCCTGGCCCTTGCGCAGCAAGCCGAGGTAGAAGTCAAACTCTGGCCCCCCAAGCAAGTCGAAGAAGTTGAGCCGCTGCAGCACTTCCATTGGATTGAGGCCCCGGAGGCGCCAATAGCGATCAATCCAGCGCCGCATCTGGAACTGCGAGCCCCCGCAGAAGGCGCCGGCTAAAAAGGCGGGCGGTTTGCCCGCTCCTCGTCGAAGTCCCAACAGGCCTGCACTTCGAGAAAGTCGCAGAGCTCGAAGCCCGGCAAGCGCGCGCGAGCGCCTTGAAGGAAAGCCGCAAAGTCTTCGGCGAGCCTCCGCGCGGCAGCGCCCCGCTCCGTCCACTCTGGCCTGCGGGCGTCGCGGCAAAGCGCCAAGAGGCGAAGCGCGGCTCGCCCGTCCAGTATAGCTCGAGGAACTCCTGCAACAACACGTCGAAGACTTGGGCGCGGACCAGCGGCATGGCGCAAGGGGAAACGCCGCTAGAGGGGCCGCGCCGGGTCTCACAAAAGGGCTCGGTCCGACAACGCTGCGTCGCTTCCCCCCTTCCGCGGCCGCCCTGCGCGCAGAGCCACTGCAAGCAAGTCTCGGAGAAGCCCGAACAACACGGCGGCGCGGCCAAACCCGCGGCGTTTCTTTCACTGCTTCTTCAAACACTGCGTCGTCGCTGAAATGGAAGACCTAGCGGCTGGGCGGCCCCGTCACTTCGCCTCGCCCTCGTTGTCGACCTTCTCGCCGCTGGCCGCCGCCGTTTCCCCCGCCTCTCGTTCTCCGGCTTGACTGTCAAGTTGAGTGGGCGCCGCCAAGCCAAGGCGCGACTGACCTCGCGGCAGCGCGCTCCTCTGGCGCTTCTTCTTGCCGCCGCCCTTGGGCTGCGCAGGCGGGGCGTCCTTGGCCGTCCTCCGGAAGATGTTGACTCCAACGGCGCCGGGCGGGCGCCAGTACGGGATCGGCTCCGCCAGGCGTCGCGGGGCAGTCAGGCCCAAGCCGCACACGCGCCTCTCGTATGGCAGGGCTGCGTTGCGCGGCCACAAGTGTTGGTCTGCGAGCTCGTGAAATTCCGCCTCGCTGAGCACGCGGGCGCCAGAGATGGTCGCGCAGCCGTAGACCTTGCCTCCCATGCCCAGCCACACGCGGCCGAGCGCGTGCCGGGTCGCTCGCAGTTCCATGTCAGCACGAGGTCGAGCCACGGCTGCCGCATCACCAGCACGCGGTCTCCCACGGCAGGCGCGCTGTCTTCTGTCATGCGGCGCGCGAACCAAGAGGCTTTGAGCGGAGCAGGTTGCGAGAGCTAGCTATAGCTGGGCAAAACGGCTGCGGCGGCCGCGATGCGTCGCGCCGGCCAACGGCAAGACCCAGGCGCGGCCGCGCAGCTCAAGTCCGCCCTTCAAACCGCTCTCCGCCGACAACGAAAGGAGCCCGAAGGGAAAGAGGGTCGGCGAACTAGGAAGACTTTTCTGAGCGCTGTCGACAAGCGGCCGAGCCGATTCGACTCCGCGCAACCCCGTCCGTCTTTTTGCGTCTTCAAGTGGCGCAGTCCACGCGCCGCACTCCGCGGCTCCGACCGCTCACTCAGTCTCCGCCATCTCGGTGGCAAGCACAGACTCTTGCTCGGCCACCCACTTGGCCAGCGGTTGACGAAGTGAAGCGGGGCCCCCAGCAGCACGTCCGCGAAGATCTCTTGGACGCGCCGCTTGTCCTCCAAGGAGTCCTTGATTTCCAGCACCCGAACGTAGTCGCGGTCCCGCCCGCCGCCGTTTCGGCCCACAACGTGCGCCCCAGGGACATCCACCTCGTCGAACCTGCTGCGGTAGGCGAAGATGCCTCCGTAGAAGATCAGCGAGTAGCGGCGGCCGCCTGCGCCCGACCCGGTTTCTCCGCAATTTCCTTCTTCTTCTTCTCCAAGCAGCTCTTCCCCATCCACGCCCTCGCCCTCGGCCGCCTCAATTGGCACACAACGTGGCGGCGACCCTTGGGCGGCCCGACCGCAAAAGGCTTGGGCAAGGGAAAGTCCATTCTTGCCCAGCGCGGGAACTCTTTCCCGAAGCTTAGGCTGCGCGGAGCAGTCAAGAGGCCCAGGCGCGGGACAGCCGCCAGGTCGCCCACGCGCTTCTTGTGGTCCAAGACGAAGGCCACGAGGTCCAGCGCGGGCGACGGGTCAGGCCCCGCGCAGTATGGCCATGTTCCACGGCGCGACGCCCGCGCCGTCAGGGTCGAGCGGGCCGCTCTGCGGCGGGGCGCCGATGTTCAGCTTGACGCGGAGGACAGTCTCCAAGGACTCGAGGCAGCGGACGTCCTTGTCGGGGCGCTCGAGCAAGGCCTCACGCGCGAACTTCAGCAACTCCTTGGGCCCGAACGCCTCCTTGGCGGAGCCGGCGATCTGCACTTGCCACAACGGCGCATCGGTCTCCAAGCCTTCGAAGAAGGCGAACGCTTAGGGCCGCGCGGCGGCGAACAGCACGCCGGGCGCCAACTGCGCCAAGGGGTCCCCGCGGGCCTTCTTGGTTGCGCCGTTGAATTGAAGACCGTCGGCTAGGAGGCGGCGCTTGGCGGGCATGGCGCTGGACACGTACGTGGCTAGGGCGCTCAAAAGGCAACTCGTGTAGATCGCTGAGACAGCTGCGGCGAGCGGGAAGTCGCGCGAGGGCTCAAAATGAGCTCCACAGCTACTGATAGACAAGTTTCCTGGAGGGCCCGCGCTTTTCATAGAGAAGCTGGCCAAGTCACGAAATTCCTAACTCAGGCTTCTGCTGCAAGTTCAGCACGACGGCTCCATCCGCCCCCGTGCAAGCCCGGGCGCCGCCGTCCGCTGATCTGCTGTCGTTGTCTTGCCCAACTTGCCATTCTTTTCTTACGGAGCCAGTTTTTTTTGCTTGGCCGCGCGCATTCTCCCCAACCATACGTGCTCGAATAGCTTTTTACACGGTTTTTGTCTTCCGATTCCTATTCTCCCAGGCCATACGCGCACGTATGGCCGGGGAGAATAGCTTGTTTCGCACGGTTTTGCGCTGAAAAATGCTATTACTCTAGCCCGTATATCTATATACGGACCGGAGATCTGTTGTCGTTGTCTGGCCCAACTTGCCATTCTTTTTTTAACGGTCCCATTTTTTTTTCGGCCGCGCATGCTGGGATGCTGGGGACACGGAGATGCTGGGATGCTGGGGACACGGAGATGCTGGGATGCTGGGAACATGGAGATGCTGGGATTTGCGAAAAACCGCACGCACGCCGCTCCATGCGCCCCCGTGACTCATGTAGGACTCATGTAGGACTCATGTAGGACTCATGTAGGACTCATGTAGGACTCATGTAGGACTCATGTAGGACTCATGTAGGACTCATGTAGGACTTGCCCCAGAGAATGTGCGGAAGCACGGCGCGAGGGGAGTGCCGAGAGTGTGGGGGAAAAAAACTAGAAGAAGCATCAGAAATGCATGTTTTGTCAAGCATGAGGTAAAAAAAACAAGACCCGCCAAAATCGTGCCTTTTTACGGCCCGTTTTTGGCGGTGATTTTGCATTTTTTTGGGGTATCCAAACAAGCTTGGCAGGGGGGCACGCGGACCGATTGCCGTGTGTGTTGAATTTTGCGATCTTTGTGACTTGTGTGTCCGGTTGACGAGTTGTGAGATTGTGCATGCCGCGGGAGCCATTTTGGCATTGCATAGGTGGGTAGGAGGGCGTGGCTTGTTTTTTTCGCGACTTGTCCGGGGTCAGGGCCCAAGTCCGGATGAGGATGGATGTGCTTGCTGTTGTGCGAATCTTAGGTCATGAAACGTGCGCCGAGCAGGAGCCCCCAGATGCCGAGCCCGAACCAGGACGGTGGTGGCGGGGGTTTGCTGGGGCGGTGTGGGGCCTTGCGGCGAGGAGGTTGGAGAGCAGGCGAGCTGGGAGGGCCCAGCACTCGTGCTGCCCCCCGGCTGTGGCCAGGCAGGGACACTTTTTTTTCTTCGCAAGCTGTGCATGAGTCCAGCATGAGTGTTGCATGAGCGCAACATGAGTGTTACATGAGTGTTGCATGAGCCCTTCTATGGGCGCAAAAAGAGCCCACACCTTACAGTGCCCCCCCCCCTCCCTCGCAAAAAAACAAAACAGTTTCCATAGATGCGCACCCTTACGTCCTCTTGCAATCTGCTTCCGGGCGCATTTGAGGGGTTAGGCAAACGTCGACGCTTGCCAGGCACAGGCTGACAGAGCCGGTGGAGGTGGTGATCAGGCGCATTAGTTTCTTTCATTTCCGGCAACACGCCGTGCCTGGAGCAGGTGGACAGATCCGGCGGTGGCGAGCGAACCCGTGGAGGGGCCGATCAGACACATTTTTTTCATTTTCGGCAACTCGAGTTGTGCGCTCTCCGTGCCAGGAACAGACGGGCGTATCCGGTGGAGATGGTGGTCAGGCGCATTTTTTCTTTCATTTTGGGCAACGCGAGTTGCGCACTCTCCGTGCCTGGAACAGGTGGACAGATCCGGTGGAGGTGGTGGTCAGGCGCATTTTTTCTTTCATTTCCGGCAACACGAGTTGCGCACTCTCCGTGTCAGGAACATGCGATCAGATCCGGGTGGTGGTGAGCGAGCCGGTGGAAGCGAGGATCAGGCGCGTCATTTCTTCCAGTTCCGGCAACACGAGTTGCGCGCACTTCGTGTCTAGGTGGACAGATCCGGTGACGGCGAGCGAGCCCGTGGAGGTGGTGATCAGGCGCGTCATTTCTTCCGTTTCCGGCAACGTGAGTTGTGCACACTTCGTGTCTAGGTGGACAGATCCGGTGACGGCGAGCGAGCCCGTGGAGGTGGTGATCAGGCGCGTCATTTCTTCCGTTTCCGGCAACGTGAGTTGTGCACACTCCGTGTCTGGAACAGGTGGTCAAATCCGGCGGAGGTGGCGCAAGGCGCAGGGGGCAGCCTAAGCCAAGGGCCAAAGGCAAGTCCCGGGCCGAGCCGGCTGAGCCTCCCACGGAATCTTGTGTCTCCTTCAAGATTTCCGATTTCGTGGATCACTCATTCGTTGCGGAGATGGGCAAGATGCCCCTGTCGCTGTACACGACCAGCCGCAATAACGCGCCGGGCTTTGCTTCGTTGCGACAGGTCTGCTGTCAGGTGCGTGAGCGGAGAGGCACCGGCATCGAGTCGTGGTACAAGGAGGACAATCTTCTGGTGCTTGCGCAGAAGAAGGGGCGCGCCTGGTCGGGGATCAGTGTGATGACGGAGCAGGAGATGAACGGCCTTAAGTTCAAATGCTCGTCAGGCTATGACGCCAGGTCCGTCTTCACGTACGGCAAGGATGTGAAGGAGTTGCTTCGTGGCGGACTGGAGAACGGCGACTTCATCCGCGACTACGACATGAAGGCCAGCTTCCCAACCGCCTTCCTGGAGAGACACCCCTCGCTGCATTGGGTCAGCAGATGGGTCAACGGGTCCTTCATGGACACGCTGCCGGGCATGCCTCGCAGTGTGGCGAAAGGCTT